GAATTCAAAAATATAGTCATTTCTTGGGTTTCTTGCGCTTCCTTCCAGTTCCCCCAGCCCTGCCCATTCGGGCATGCTCAAGGGGTTGGAGCTCCAAAGATTTAGATCTCTCATATTGTCGTCGAAAAGCCTTGGCCTTGGCGTTAGTTGCCAATTGAAACTCAGCCAGTACAGCAAGACCCTCATTAATATAAATTCTTGCGGTCTTTGCCGCCTGCCACCGACCTGCTATGAGCAGTTTGTCTAGGGACCCGTGTTTTGCAAAATAGGAGGTGGCACCTCCCCTTCGCAAGCTGTAGGGCCTGAAAGAGTGTTCACTGAGCCCAGTGGCCTCTAGGTAGTCAGTAAATTTCTTTCTCCAGACATGAGCCGCCTCACATAGGGAAGGTCGAGAACTTGGGGTATTCTTCCACTGCCAGAGTCGTCTCAGGGTATCCTCCTCCCGAATGGTCACGCTTTCAGCAGCGCCTTGACGACGACCACCTTTCGTCATTCCCAGGGAAATGACCGCGACACTCCTCGGGCCTTTCTGCTCTATGTGGCTCTTTTTAACGCCCAACAACTCCCCTGTCCGCAGGAGTCCATGGAAGCCAAGTAACAGAGAAAGAGCAAACAAGTCGTCCTTCTTGAACAGGCTGTAGCCAATCAAGATATCTAAGGCTTCTGTAGGTAGGGGCGGAGCTCGACTTGGAATCTCGGTGGAGGACCATGTCTTCATCAGCCTCCAGGAGGATGGCAACCTCCCCTTGACTGAGGGTTTGTAGTCTTGAACTGCTGCTATGGAGTCACAAGCAAGGGCGCGGCCTTCTCCACTTTCCCAGAGGAATTCTATGTAGTGACTAAGCCAGAAGTCAAGCGTGGGAGGGTCATCTGGAAATCTACGACTTTCCTCACGAAGGTAGGTACGGAATTTCTCAAGCGCTTTATCATATCGTGTTCTGGTGGCTGGTTGGACAGCCAAATTGCGTAGCGGCCCCAATGCTCGTCGCTGCTGCTGCCGCGATGCTTTGTCTTTGCCCTCTATGTGTACTTTGCTGTGGCTCACCATTTCTTCTTAACGGGGTGCCTCGACGGCCCATCGGCCGGGTTTTCCTTTGTGTGAACATACGCCCACACTCCGTGTGAGCCACTGGCAAGGAGCAAAGCATTTATCCGACTCATAGTGCGACGAAGTTTGCGGCTGCTGCTGCGGCCTCTCGACAAGGAGTGGAGGCACACCAAACTATCCACCATATGCACGAATTTTGTGCGTAGAGCCTTCTTCTTCACGATCCGCCAGCGAAGCGAGGTAAGAACGGCCCGCATCTCCAAGACATTGATGTGTTCCGGAGAGCCTTTCCATGACCATCCCATAACCGTCTTCCACTGCCACAAGCTGGATGGTAAGCTCGCACGCAACCTATGGTATCGGAGAGACTCTTCGCTTGGCGCTTGAATCATGATGTCTTCGCCCTTCAGGCTGACCAGGTTCAGGAGTTTTGAGACCAGCTCGTACTCCCCTTCTGTACCTGCCTTCTTGATTCGCTTCATGGCCTGACGTTGTAGCATCCCTCCCAAGGTGGTTGCGGCACCAGGTTTTGTAGCCTCGACCGCTTCTTGTGGGCTTTTGGAGGGGCATAGCCCAAGTTGCTGGCCCAGTTGGGCGAGCAACCAAACCACGACAGTCACATTCCAACTGTTGCCAATCAAGCTCTTCCTCTCGTCCTCATGTGCCTCACTTCCATGATGTTGCTTTGACATGCATTGCACAGTATAATCCCGAGGAAACCCCATGATTGCTTCTCTCTCACGCACTGACGGAATTCGGCATTTGCCATTGCCTTCTTTCACCAGCAAGCGATGAGCATATTGGTATGGGGGAAAGCGGAATTTGTCTGCCTCCCATGATTCCTTCTCTTCTGGGCTGAGCTTCTCCAAACCAGCCGGTCGACGACCGGGATGAGTCCTTGGCCTTGCCGTTGTAAAAGTAGGGAAAGGCTCCTCAGAGACTTTCACGCAACCTGCCGACAGGAAGTCCTTTGGGTCGATCTCCGCTGCGAGTTCCACTTCCTGAAAGGCCGCCATCCCCTGATCAACTTTAGGATGCATGCGAACCCCAGGTCCAGGCCTCAATTCCCAGTCCAACCAGTACAGTCGGGGACGACGAGCTAGCGAAACACCACTGGCCTCAATCTTCACTGGGGTGTCACCGAAATCTTGTGACATGACTTCACGGTCCTTTCGGTCCATTGAGGCCACACTCTCTGCTAGGTACCTGACCTGCGCCCAAGGAAAATGCACCTTAAGCAGCTCTTTGATGCGTCGGACATGGCTGAATAGGCAGCTCCTGTGATCTCGCAAGGCACCACGTCGCTCACTGTTCAAACCACTCACACCTTGACACGGAGGTCCAGCTCCCAGTAAAACGAGCGATGCTTGTGAGAACTTCGCCGCCCAGCCCCTGACCATCTCCTCGTCAACTGCCTCCACTCCTCCTTCAATGAACTCTGTCGCCGGGAACTTGCTCTCGAGAACGCGGCTTGCCTCCTTCTTTACCTCTACACTGATGTGACCCAGGACGGGGAAACCGCAAGCGTCCGCTGCTACTCGCAATGCTCCGATTCCATCAAAAAGACCAATCGTGAGGACCGAACATACATCAGATGGCTCTGCGACGTCTCCTCGAACGCTTGCTCGTGATGCCGCCTCTCCGAATCCTGTCAGACCAACACTTCGAGTCAAGCCCCCGCCCGTAGTAGAAGCATCACTGGCGGTGACCTCTGAGCTCACCTCCAACCTGAAGTCCATTTGCGCCAGCGGGGCCAATGCAACAAACCTTGCAATCTCAAGCTTCACCTCCTGGGGTATTTCTAGCTTGATCACCGGCGGGTAGTGCTTGAACTCCTCGATGAATCGCCACACCGCGTTCAGGGATCCCAGGAGAGGCCTTCGGAACATGCTCATGTATACCAGGCCTCCAGCAACCACTTGAACCTGCTTTTGGCTGCACCTCTTCTCCCCCAACAGGAGACTGGCAAGCTGAGCGTACTTGAGCACCTTGAGAGGTTTGGGATAGGCAATTCCCCTCGCTCCATCAATAATAGCACCCTGTACCTCGGCCTTCAACGAGCGTGCAACGCCTTTCTTTGGATGGCGAGGGACTCCCCATCTCTCATACTCTGACCGGAGTGCCAGGATACTGGCACTTGGCTCCCCTCTTAGGAGTTCAGCGGTGCGCTTGTCCATCTTCTCCAGCGAGTCGAAATTGTCCAGGTATACCCTATGCAATGTGGTAGCAGAAGAAAAAGGTCGATCCTTTCGCACCTCTTGTTCTGGCTTGAGCCCCCCCCCAATTTGCTCCCCAGCTCGTCTCACCATGGCCCTGTGAACATGTTGGGCCAAGCTCACGCTGTTCTTAAAGCCCA